CCCACACACATCTCCTCACACAATCTGCTGACAAACCAACCTGGAAATAAGTATTTTAGCTCCGCACGTGGCACGCTGCCATGCTGTGTGTGTGTGTGTGTGTGTGTGTGTGTGTCAACCACAACAAGGTTACACAGTTACTTATATATGGGCTAAAAAGAAAGAATGCTGTGAACACTTTTATTCCTCTTGCTCGACCACACCTACCTGAAGTGTCGGGCAGTCACCCAGAGCTAGGAGCAGGGTGGCCCCGGGTCACCCACGTGAGGGGAGGAGGAGGAGGAGGGGGGGGGGGGTCAGGAGACAGGCACCTAAGTGGGCGTTTTTCCACCAATGTTATGTTACATGGCAATCACACCTGCTGTGCGTCAACGACCGGTCAGACTGGGGTTGGGGGGGCCTGAAAGGAAGCGGACAGCCGTCACCGTCGTTCGGTCCCCCCACTTCTCTGCAGACGACAACGACGAGGAGGAAGAAGAAGAAAAAAAAAGAGCAGGGCTGGAGAAGAGAAATTAAAAAATTGGGTCTGTAGAGGAGCAGAAATCCTGGATACTTTCACCTTATTCCCAGTTTCCAATAGCCTTGCCCCCTCCTCCTTTTTTCTGCATTAATATGTACACCACGAGGCACTTCTTCAACCCTTCTCGTTAAACACTCCAGAAATGTCAGAAATAGACACCAAAGATAGGTAGGTCCCCGACTCCTTGAGGAAAAATATTAGAATACGGGATGGTTTATATAGGCAGTGAAGCAAAATGGCGACTTTATTACGAAGGAGGAGTAAAAAAAAAAAAAAAAAAAAAAAATCCTTGCGCTGGCTGGAGCTAAAGGGAGGCACAAAAATATGTTTAGTGCAGTAATTTCGACGGCTGCGAGACAGTTGGTTAGAGTAAAAGGAAACGAAGCGAAGGAAAATAAACAGAAACGACAAATCTCGGTCGGTTTTAGTTCAGTCCTTGGTTCCTTACCTCGGGATTATTTCGGTTTTTTTATACGGATATTATCTCGGCGGCCGTGTACAGTATTACAGTAATGTGTGTTGGGTCATGCGCGTATCCACTCCACCTTTGACAGTTGCAACTACAGTCTTGAGGCAACTTGCAAACTCTCGCGTTATTATTATTATCTATATCGAGCGAATTAATTTTTTTTTGGGGGGGTTCCTGTCTAATAAACTGCTGCGATACCGGCTCGCGCTGCTCCTCCGACGTAACGGCGCTCGTTCCTGACGAAAAAAGGGTCAGGGCTTAAATTCCTTAAATCAACCTTTGCCAAGTATTTTCATGTAGTTGCTGCCAATTTTTTTTTTTTTTCCCCCTTCAGCCGATAGCAGCATCACTAAATCTGTCGTACAAATAATTGTAGTCCAGCCAGTGGAAAGCTATTCCTTGTCATTGCTTTACTGCAGGCCAGTAGCCTACTTTAAGTCTGTCACTGCAAGTAGCCCTCTCCAAAAAAAAAAACCTCTGGATCAACAAAAACGCCCTACATTTCACTAAACCTTGCAAGTTATAAGCGAAAAGCTACACACGACAGCTACATTATGTACTAATGAACCTGTTTAACATTATAAAACCTCTTATTAATTGCCTAATGTTCTAAAATACGTTCCCAAAATTCAAGGTCAAAATTAAGGCATTAGATATTACCCACTATTGATGTTAATAGCTGCTAAATGATACTTAAGCAAACCATAAAAACACTACTTTTTTTTTATTGCTTCAGGCAATGCTCACACTGCAGGCATTTCCCCAGCTAAGGCAACTAATAATAAATGTTTAGCATATGGTGAGGCCATTTCTTTCTGTTGTCACAGCTCACTAAGTGAATCATTCATGGTGTCATTACCACCTCCCCCAACTTCTGTCAAACAACAAAGATTCTGTCTTAGTCTTTGATTGGTGCCTGTCATCGTGACCCAATATTTCCTATTAGTTGAAATCATCTCAAGCCATGATGTAATGTAGGCTGTTTAAAAAAAAAACAGTTTCCAGTATGGCCATTAGAGGGCAGGAGAGCCTCATTTTTCAGACCAAATCCACTATGATAAGATGCATTAGTCCACTAAAACACCTGTTTTAAAATAATTTAACATTATACTTGTCTGAGAGGTTTTCAGAAAGTGTGACACAACAAACTGAGTGCTGTTTTGACATGCAAAAAAAATCACAAGTCAGGGATATGAGAGAACAAAATAATTAAGAATTGAATATTTTTAGGTTACATTCACCTGTAAAAACAACTATTTCACATATTTGGGCCGTTCTGAAATATAGTTTAATTTCCTTGAAATAAAAACATCATACAGATGATTCTTTCTGAGTATGAATTCAAGACCACATAGGCTATGTGAAATTGAGTTCTTCATCCCTTTTTTTCCTCTGTAAGAACATCTTTGTTAAAAGATAACCTGTGTATTTAGAGGCTAATTCATTTATGTCATAATCAATGTAATCTCTTCAACCGAAATAAAAAAGATTGAAAAAATAAATAAATGTTTCATTTTGCACTTTTTTAAAAAAAAATTCACAATGCAAAAAAAGGAAAGGTTTTGATGACATTAATTTCCCACTAGCTGGCAGTGTCATCCTGTGGTATATCTTACTGTAACCATCCCTTTAATAGAATACATGGTATCCTGTGGCATCTTTTTCCATTTCATCTTTTAAATGTGCTATTCATTTTATGGCTTTGTCATGTGGTTTGGGACTACTCCGATCTGTCCTAGTTCTAGACGACAGTCAGCTGGTTTGACGCACATCCAGTCTGAGGGTGTTTTACTCACAGTGACTTCTGCCACCCTCCTGCACATTAACAGTCTAAAAGATAAAGTGAAATCTTCCTCCAGCTCTCTTAAATGGCTGCTGATGAATAGGTCACACTGGGCCTCATTTGACCTGAGATTATTCCTTTAACAGTGGCAGTGATTTATGTTCCCACTTTTCCTCTGCTGAGTGAGCAAAACGCTCCTTTAATGGTTTTTAAAACTGTCCAGGTGGACTTGCCTGAGCCTTAAAAGGCTCTTGAAGAGTCCATCCAGCAGTTGATTGTTATTTATCTTTTGACCTTTCTAGTGAAAGTTGAGCGAGTGCATGCACATTTTCCATACTGACTGGCTTTGTAGCGGTATGCAGAATAATAACACTTGGGTGCGGGCCAGAAAAATCACAGTCTTCAGCTGCTGATGCCACTAAGCGGCTCCACTGAAGCAGCTGCTTAAGGGCTCCTCAGCAGTAACTGATGAAACAGGACAGAGTGTTTCTCAGTCTGTTTCAGTGCTGTCAGAGGACTAACATCCAGCTGATCAAAGCCACAGGCAGATAACCAAAAACAAGCTGAATGGAGATTCTCTGCGTTTAGATGTTTAAAAAAATAATGATGACAGACAAGCTTTGGAAATAAAAGACACTTATTAATAGACAGTTACCAATTAGCTGCACCATCCAACCGTCTGCTGCACAAATTTATTCAGGGGTGAGAAGTCCACTGTTCACTGAATCTGTTTATCATACATGTGCCTTGTTATCAACTGGTGTGATGCTTCATGCCTCTCAGTAATTGGATCCAAGTGTGTTCGTGTGTGTGTCTGTGTGTCTGTGTGTGTGTGTGTGTCTGTGTGTCTGTGTGTGTGTGTGTGTGTGTGTGTGTGTGTGACAGAGACAAAGCCTGTGTGTCTCTCCAGACGCTGTTTTGCATTCAGAGAGTTACAGTCGTGCCTACTGCACCCTGAGTGGCACGTCAGGGCCAAGGTGCAAGTGGAGACAAACACACTTTGTACCAAAAATACTATGCAATCTTTGTAACTCTCATTTCCATGTGCAGTTTCAGAGTTACCACTACTTTCTCTATAAACCTTTTAAAACTATTTTTTAAATTTAGTGAAGGGCATTCTAATTTTCAGGAACATTTTTAGAAATGTTCCCGTTTTAAGGGAATATTTGGTGCGTGGATGAATTAATTTGTAAATTTAATTTGGAAAATCGAAGTAATTATAAGGAAATATGAGAACAAATCCAGGCGTAAAGAGCAATAGAATGATGGGGGAGAAGAAAAACAAATGAGATAGCAGGGGAGATAAAGAGAAACAAGAAATCACAAGAGCTCTGCAGCAGTTTTCTTTTGAAAAGTAGTAGCTTGAATAGGAAACCTTTGGGGATTTAATTCACTGATTAAACACTTTTGTACAGTTACAATTCCATATGGACAAAAACGGGGAAAGTGCAGTCTTGGTTTGACTCTACATGATCAGTAAATACAGGAAGTAAAACATTGTTAGAGATCTTCATTTTTCTTTTCTGATTTGTTTTCCTGCAAGTCAGCTCAACATGTGAAAAAGATAGAAAAGTCTGCATTGGCCCTTATTTAAGAATGTTACCACTGAGCTTAAGTGACTACAGTTCCATGTAGTCAATCTTATGACAATAGCAAAGTTGAAGACGACATTTTTCTACATTCACTGTGGGATTGTCCAGGGCTAGATGTATTTCAGTTTGAGATTATAAGATTTCTCCTTCACAGAGACTATTTTTAGACGCTCAGAGGACACTCCATTGCTTCCCTCTCATATCCAATCCGTTTTGATGATGGGAACACTGCCAGACAAAAAAAAAAGGAAGACAACAATTTCATTGTTTCCAAAGACGGTAATCGGAAATGATTTCTGTCCACTTTGGGAAAAACTTCAGCATTTTAGTAGAATACCTTGAGACAAGATCAATGAGGGTTAGCATTTGTTTTTTTTTCTTTTGTTTTCTGAATGATGGTAAGTTTAGCAGACGTGATGTTCTGATAACTTTTTAAACCCTTCAGGCCTTTAGGACTGTTCAAGCGATACTTGAAAGTGATACTTTTTTCTTAATACATTTTGCTGCTTTGGCGTCATTTTTGTATCAAATACGTTCCATGTGTCTCAGTGTCTTCTGAATATGTGTAAAAATCCAGAGAATAAAAACCTTTACATTCATAATGACACTTAGAAGTACAATGTGAAAATCCGGACCAACACTTTCAATGAGTTTATTCTAAAAAGACAACTTTCAACATGTACCATACTGTGTGTCTTCACACATGTAAAGCAGATAAATATGTTTCATTGATGCTTGATTAGATTTAAACAGTCTTTCAACCCAAAGTGTATATTTACAGTAAATCTGAAAATCCAAAAATAATAAAACAGAGTGTTTCCTCCCTTTTAACAGTCAATTACTTATGTGACTCACTCAGTCTTTGTCAGAAGAGGAGTAGGAGAATGTTTTGTTTGCAGGACGTTTTATCCATACATGTAATGTATTCATTGTTCACTTTAACACGGTTACTGTAAAGCTTTAAGCAAAGCTCGAGGGATATCACTTCAGTCGCATAAGAAATCTTGGATGACAGTAATCGTCATGGTATCTTGATTTCTGAGCGTTTGAAATCACAGTCACACCAAGGATAGAGTGAGAAGAATACAACAGAAGCTTGTCCTTTTTCTCAGGATTTGTGTGCAAAACATGACAGTATATGACAGTAGCACACACAGAGGAGAAAAGCTACGAGGCTAGCAGATATTGTCAGCCATCTAAAAAAGAAAAGAAAAGGGGATTTGATTATTGTCCCATACAATAACTTCTCTCTTACTTTTACCATTTAAATCATTGCTCTACAGATGATCCCTTTAACTTTATACTTTCTAGATTCCCTCCATTGATAAAAGACTAAGGTACTGTAACAGCATATACAGAGTTATAGTGTTCTACAACGCTCATACTGAATATGTGTTCATCTAACTTCTTACTGAAGATCAGTCACATATAAAAAAAACACTGATTGTTTGGGTGACATTCTGCTTCAAATGCTTTTCCTCAAAACCCACACAATTAAAAAAAAAAAAAAAGGCCTGAGAGGAATATGAAGGGTGAGCTGTGGGCCAGGAAGTGATTAGGATTGTTTTTGGCCACAACTAAAGGAATACATTACCAGACCTTGTTCCTAGTGTAAAGGATTGTAGCTTCATGGGAAGATGGGAATTGAGGGAGTGTTTCCTTCAAATTAGATTAAATTAGAAGTTGCCAAATAATGGCGCTACATTTTAACACCAAATAAAATAAAACAATGTAAGAGTGTCCTATCCTCACCAGAAGATGTGATAAGAGAGAAAACTGTAAAAAGCTGTTTGTGCACATGTGTAGAATGTTCAAAGTTAACCCAAGTGTTGCCCCAGTCATTCTGATCTGAATGAAATAGAAAACCAAACAGAGCATTTCTGCGATCAAGCATTCACCAGCGACAAGCCTACATCATGACCGTGTTGTGAATCTTACATCTCATCACTATGCTACAGCGGGCACCCCTGCCTTGAGCTGGGCTTTGTCTCTGTCTCAGTGTCTGTAAACCACATTGGCCGTGTTGAATGAGAATCCTCCAGACTGTGTTGGCATGCAGTCTTCTGGCTCGTCCCCGTCCCCTTTTCACTCGCCGATTCTCCGCTCGCATATCTGAAGACGGCAGCTCTTCTGTGGCTCCTAGAGATGTATTGTGACAGGGGATGAGGGAGAGGGCTGCCAAATGGATCCAGGGATGAGCTAAGAGAAGTTTCCAAAGGAGGCTGCAGAGAGAAGGGAGAGAAGAGGGGGGGGGGGGGGAGAAGAGGTTAAGGTCTCATCTAAGAGGCTTTTGGAAGCTGAAGGATGGGGTTCATAACCCAGCTGAATCTGTATGTGACTCAAGACTGTGGCTGGCCTCATGGAACACGTTGTACTCACAGAGCGACAACCTCTAACAACCAATAATTTAGTATGAAACACTCACTGAATAAGTAAGAGACGGATGGCTATGCATGACAATTGCTACAACATAACTAATGTTGGTAGAGAGAAGGACAGAAAAAGACAAACCATATGGGTTTAATGACTCTGATGAAGTAAAAAAAAGAAAAAGAAAGCATCTTCACAATAGAGGTTGGTAATATTCAAAAGCTAATCTTCAAAGTAGGTCAAGAATCACAGAACAAAGCTCCGCTCTAAACTTTGTGATGGGCACATACCAGGCCTACACAAACGAGAAAAACATTGTTAGATATTGTGATTACAAAATAAAGAGTGCATTTAGCTATAACGTAACTCTTTGTGTTTATGTTTATGTTTCTCCCGAATCCATAGAAATGAAACACACATTACTACACTGAGGGCATCTAATAGCTTATTGAGCTTCATTAAGTGATCATGAAACGGGACACCCAGGCTTTCATCCAACAAATAAAATATACACAGAATGATGAACAGTGCTTGTACATGTTTACATTCATTCATTTCTCTTTTATTGCCAGAGTTTTGCCGTGTGTTATTTGTGATGAATTGCACAGTCCTGATATTTACACATGCGCACACAACTTATTCTCTTGCCCACTATTTTTTACATTCTTCTTCTTCTTTCATTCCATTTAGGGGTATCGCTTTACTAATAAGAGTAGAAATATGCGATGAAGCTAATCAGCTGAAATAATTAGCCTTTATTCTCAATGTCATAATTTATTTTTCTCTCCAAACATCAGATGCGACCAGGTGGTTTCTCTGACAACTAGCCAGTATGCTCCTTCCTGAAATGACACCAAGTGTCAGCGGGACGGCAGACTCTCCTCTCCCAGACTGTTGGCATTTCAGCTTTAAGCCCCCCCCCCCCCCCCCCCCCCCTGATAGCAGAGGAGACACCGCGCCACCTGTCTGTAGACACAAACAGATGTAGTGTGGCACCGGCATGAACCTGAACCAGGAAACTGTAGAGAGAGAGAGAGAGAGAGAGAGAGAGAGAGAGAAGGACGGAGGAGCGTGGATACGACTGGAGGCGGGCACACACATGGAGAGGAAACAGCCTCTCTGATAAAAGTCATTTTTAAATGAGCTCCCAATGGAGTCGTCAGAGCCCATAGGTGCAGCAGAGGAGGAGAATCGGTGGGAAGAGGAGGGGATGAAGAGCAAAATTTGTCCTGAGGAAAACTGACATGTTTTTTTTTTTTTTTTTCTTCCTTTGCCTGTCACACTCAAGAGTTCACTCATATTCTAATTTAGAGCAACGCGCCACATGAAGCTCTGAGTTAAAGGATGGGCAACCTCACAGGAGCATTCCAGGGAAACAAGGTTACCATGACGGTCTCCAACAGCAACCAAAGTGCTTCTGACAGTATGTCTTACGCGGCAGGGTACAGGTCAAGGGTTGCATGATCTGTTTCAGCGTATTACTAATGAGAGTTACTCACAATGGAAATGCGAGACTTTGATGAAAATTTGATGTGTTGTAAAAGGAGGAGGGAGTGACAGCTTATGATAAAAGTATAAGTACAACTACAGGTGGAGAAGAAGAAGAAGAAGAAGAAGAAGAAAAATGTGGTGTCTGATCTGAATCCCAGAGTTTATCAGATGTAACAAAAACCTCTGCACGGTTCACTCCACCCTGAGAGAGAGCTGTGGCTCTGGGCTGTGGAAGACATCATCCTTATCCTTCACTGACTGCTTGATGTAATGCAGCCTTTCCTTCTGAAAATACATGAAACACTTTACACCAAGTGTAAAATACTGAGATTCAAACATGAGAAATGGAAGACTCAATAAAAGAGTCTTACTTTTTCACGTTGAAACGTAAACAGCAGACTTTGAAATGATGCAATGCAAACAGTAGCTGTGAAGGTTGAAGCATGGATCGGTCTATGTACAAACATTTGCATTCAGCTTTGATGCGCTGATTTGAATTTCCAAACTGCATTAATTCAACCTGTAAGCGACGTTAACATTTAAATAAGTGTTGTTTTTTAACCATCATCCGCAAGTTTGCTGAGTTTGAAGCACTGCTTACACAGAAAAATATCCATGTTTTTTTTTTTCCAAACCCTCAGCTGAACACTCCAAAGGTAGAAAGGTGAAATAGTTTGTTGGATTCCAAAAGTTTCAGTCTTGTTATCAACTGTTCATAACACAACTGTAAAGGATAAAGGAACTTCTCACACGACAATGAAGTTATTTGGCCATGGTTTGGACAAAATGATGTTCTTTATGATCAGTTAAAGAGGACGAAAGAGAAGAGTGTCTGACGTTAGGAACATTTTCTTCACAAAATTGGTTTAAAAAACTAGAAATTAAAGAATTAATGTTACATTCCCAGATTTAGATAGTCACATTACAAACTGTGTTTTCAATTGGACTCGTGGCTGATACAAAAAAACGGCTAGGCTACGTAGCTGTGATAGCAGTCAGCGACTGTACTTCTGTTCCTGCTAGGGATTTCAACGAGCCACTCTGAGGACGAAACTGGCTACTGGGATCTGAACAACCTGTACAAAGGTTTAGCTATGACTGAAAAGTCTGACACCACTGGAGTGAAGTGAAGTCTGTACAGATGAGCTTTACATCATAACTTATGTTTTGACAAGACATCCACAGATGGATTTAAAAAAAAAAAAAAATCAATATACTAGTGAATAACTGAATTTTTCTTTTAAGGCTGAATTGTGGTTTAATTGTTTTTTCTTGAACATAAGACAGTAACGTAGTCGGCCGCTGTATTGTCGTAAGGATACAGATTGTTACTGTCTGTTGCTGAATATGGACGACTGATACGTCATGTTATTCAGTGAGTTCATACGAAGCTGTTGAGTGAGACTCCTGTGATTACTGATAAGGATTACAGACTGAATTTTATTTGTAAGCGTGATTAAAGTTTGCTTTTCTTATACTAACAAACGAGAGGAGTAGTAATATGACGAGTCGTGAACGTAGACTTTAAAAAATATCGGTGAGCTGTATCTGTGTTAAGCAGCAGATGCACCCAGATTTCATAGCACTTATTCTAAGATCCGTAACATCAGTTTGATTAGAAACACTACCACTCGTGGCTTTCATCATGCAACCTAGCTGTTAGTTATAACCTAAGGCAACAGCCTACCCCGTTAATGACCTCACACTTTCTTAATGAGGCACAGCTGGCTAGCAGAACTGCAGACTCGAGGCAATGTTGAAACTTGTAGTAACTCTAGATGCAGCGGGAAAACCAGAGATGCCAAAACAATCAGTGATTTTATATTATTTGAGAGCAGGAGGCCTGGACTATGCATGAGGAACCCTAGTGCTTCATCAAACCTATTAGGCCTTATCAAAAAAAAAAAAAGACAGTAAAAGTGATGAAAAACTTTTAATATACGCCTGAGCGTATAGTTCAGTCAAACATTGTTTTTTCACATGTTCACAGCTACCTTTTTCCCACCATATATAGTGTTTTTTGGATACCAGTTTCTGATTCTGCTTCACACAGACTTCAAGAGTTTGTGCCAATTCATGAAATGTTTGATGCACTTTTAAATTCATATTGTGTACAACTTCAAATTCATAAAATCACCGTTCATTTAAGGGCGAAGACAGAACCAACATCGCGCAAACAGCTTAAGCAGTCTGATTAAGTATCACTTACTCACTGTTACAGTCAACACAAATCTTTAAAGCCAATATGGTAATCCTCATAAGAACAGATCAATGATTCAGGATTGAACTTCCATAGAGTTGCACGACTTCCAAGTGTCAGATAAAAACTAAGTTGGTTAAGAAGAGGTCAAGATATCTTGACTTTCATTCCCATCTCTTCGCCCCCACATGTTCAATGCCAGTTTTCTGTCAAATAATTTAAGTCTCAAAAAACAATTTGTGAGAACCCTGAGGTCATCATCAGGTTTATTTTGTCATACTAATGACAGCTCTCTCCAGAATCATGTAACCATTGTCCAATTCTTCTGACAGGCAGACGAGTCATGATGAGTAAGCTGACCTTTACGTGTAAACACTGGTAAAAAAAAAAAAATACATGAAAATAAATCTGTTATAAAACTCAAACATGAAAGAACAACTTTTCCCAATCCAAACATCAGTGAAACATGGAGATCCAAATAAAGCTCTTTCAAATCAAAATTCAACATTTATATAACTCTCATATTTCCTTGGTTATTATTTTCTAAAATAATGGGATTCTAGATCCCGAGTAAAACGTGCTACAGAGCTCTCCTAAAGAAAACTTTAAGGAACTCTACCTGGAAACTCTGAAAACTGTCACCACAGCCGCTCGACAAAGAGTCAGAGGATCAGAGAAAATAAAGAAGCTTTAATTTGTGGGGTGGATGAATGTCTTTAAATCAATTTATTCAATACATTAAAACCTATTCCACTCTTAAAGTTAACAATTTGACCTGCTGGTGGTACAATGTAGCCTAGGTTGAAAAAACCCCATCACCAACATACATCTAACATAAAAAAACAGTTCCAAGTCAAATGTAATCAGTTAAAGAATTTCGGGATATTTATATTATTCAGTTTGTTTTATTTTGTTTGTGTGTTTAGTCAGTCCTATGAAGAAAATAATAACTTTGGGAAAGAAGTTGAAAATGTCACGGGATTATCAAGTTTTTTAAGGGGTATCCTCAACCGTGGATTGCTACATAATGTTAAGGTAATCCATTTGACTGTTAAGACATTTCACCAAAAATCAAAATGTCAAATTCATAAGATCACTAGTTCTTCTAAGTCAAGGGTACAAAAAAGTCAGTCTGCATTACCCCCTGGGCCCATGAATGTACAAAATGTCATGGTACATTTTCAAGATATGCAAGTCTGGATTAAACGTTTGCATACACAATACTTTGGGATAAGCCTCATTCATTATATTGTTTATTAAGTGTAGGCTGACGTGCAGGAACATGGCTTAACTGGCTGCCACAGACACTTTGCTTGAGTGTCAAATGTCATGAAGATAATGATAGGAACAACAACATTATCTAAAAAACCTTCCAGTCCACTGTCAGACCTTTACCACCTCTACCCTCCTCTAACAAATTATCGCCTCATCACCCTGCTTCACATTTTCATTGCTGACACAGTACAACCCCCTTTTTACCTTTGTTACCCCTGAATACCCTCCAACCCTATGAACCTCAGGTGTTGCCACCAAATGAGCTTGCCCTCATAGTTTAAAGTCAGAGCCTGCTGAACTGGCAAATTACATTTGCATTGCTCTATTAATAGAAGTGTCCGACAGACATTTAATTAGACCTCCTTACCACTCAGTTGCACTCAATCTTTCAATTTAAGTCCGTTCAAATTATTGCAACATAACTGATAAGCATGTAGTGTGTCAGGGAAAAAAAAGCTAATTGCTCCAAGTGTGCAAAATAAGGGAGCTGAAATGATGAGATGAAACAATAAATTAGCTCCATAAACAGAATGAGGTTTGGTGTCCTCGGCCCAGTTGTTCACCAGTTATCTGATAAGATTGGATCAAGTCTTGAAATCGAGTGGTTCAAAGAAAGAAAGAAAGGTTTACATAATCGGATACGATCAGATAATCCAATCTAGTTTCAATCCAGCTAAAAACTCAGTTTATGAGTAGGATTGGGAAAAACTTTGATCCCTAAAACACGGTATACCCTGATCAACGAAGAGGGCTGGATTCAGACTTAATCACAAAATCTAAATGTGAGAAAAATGTGACTCGATTGAGTCAGACAAACCAAACATCTTTACAATGACGTTTGTTACTTTATATCTTTCGCTATACGCACTTTAATTGCTCCATACATCACCACTGTGACACAGGACATGAGGCTGGCATTAGGGTAAAAAAGAAAGAAAAAAAAGAGTATTGTCACCATCAAATATTTCACCAAATAGCTTTTAATAACTCATTAAAATCTTTAATTAAAAGTAACTGTCACAATCTCTCAGTTTGTGTGGATATTAGCACCCCCCTGTGGACAAAGTACGATTTCTTTTTGAGAGAACTGGTAATCCAGATTATTTCATCTTTAACCCAGTTTTTCTTCAAAAGAAAAAAAAAGGGGCATGTGGATCAGGATAATCTGGACCTGGATAGCAAAAAAGCATGGACTGTGTAATCCAGATTAAACCTTTACACAACCAGGCCCCGATGATCCACTGATTGAAGAAACATGCAATGGTGAATTGTCCTTTTTTTCTTAAAGTTGTTTTTGGGCCTTTTTGTCTTCATTAGATATGACAGCTGGAGAGAGACAGGAAATGTTGGGAGGGGAGAGAAGGGGATGACATGCAGCGAAGGGCTGAAGTTGGATTCGAACCCGCGGCTGCTGCGATGAGGACCATAGCCTCCATACATGGGGCTCGTGACATAACTTCTACGCTATCCAGCGCTCCATGATGGCATTTTTTAAATCCCTTTTTATTAAATGTTATAATTCCTGTTGCTTACATGTGAAACTTCTACAAAAGTTGAAATGCCATAACTGCAGATCATTTAAAGCAGAGATATTCAAAGGGAGTGTGGTTTGGTTAGTAATGCCTAGAGTCTTGTTCTCTCTTAAGCAGTTAAATAAATGATTTACTAGATGTAAAGTATTCATGGTTAACTGTCAAATGACGAGAACACATTTTTCAGAATGACTCTGTATAGACCACAGGGTTGCATTTCGATCTCCTTTATCTTTTATATCACCCCTACCTCATTCTGTCTTGTTCTCCCTCCACACACAGCCCTTATCCCTTTCAGAAAAATCTGCGACTTCAATCAACGCTGACGTGCCTTGCAAAAACCTTTTCATGTCATTTGGTGGACAAAAACTAAGATTAAAATGAGCATTAGAGTTAGGCGTTTCATTTCAGTTGGGCCCTTACCTCGAAGAAAAATGAAGTGAATAGAGAAACGCAGAAAGAAAACAGTTCGAGCATCAGCAGCATGAATGATCAGATAGTGAGTGTGAACTTGTGAGATTGCAAAGACCACTTCATTTACTTGTTTGAATGGAGCTGGTGATTGTAAGAGCCCTTGCACCATCAGTTCATAATGATTAGGTGATGGCAAAAACAACTTCAAAGCTCTGCCTCAGCTAACACAAAATTCTTTTTCAGAAAGATGCAATTATGTCAAGGGTGATGGGACTACTTTCTAATTGTTATGCAATTATTTTTGTTTTTTGCAAAAAGGCTCAACTCTTCAAGGCCCCTCAATGAATATGAAGAGAATAGTCAGAACCTGTTTGCACCTTGTTTGAGGACTGAATTATAAGGGGGTGCATAGAAATAACTTAACCAACAAAAATGTCCCCCTGAAGTGCTGAAGAGATCACTCAAAACATGGAATCAGTCTGGATGCTGCTGCTGGATAATGATCGTTATCTTGAAGATTATGGTGCCCAAATGGAAATCTGAGTGAGATAACTGGATTCTCATATAAATAGCCTCCAAATAAGAACTCATTGTTTTGTTTTATTTCTTCTCCCCGAGTCGGGCAGCTTGTGTTTTCTATGGTTTCACATGGCTGCAAAACAAATTTACCCTCAAGGACAATTAAGTTGAAATCATGAGAAAACAAAAGTATGCCTTACTGAAATATGCCTTTTTTTTGTGTAACAGTGAAGAGAGACTTTTTTTCTACTTGTTATGCAACATTCATCCAGGCAGCTTTGTGAACATGTTGCTGCAGAACTTTAAGATTTAACAATCTCCAGGGATCAATCCAGTTCTAAAGGAAATAATTATAGCATCATTTCACTTTGATGACTCATAGCTGTTAATGAACACAGAGAATAACCACTTGCAATGGCAACAGCAGCAGGTGAAAAAGCCTTGAAAGAAAGAAGCCGAGTCAAACTGGTACATTCAGGTCAGCAGTGACTGAATGAGCCAGTTTATTGATGTTTGGATAATACGAGTGTTTACTGAAGCCATTATTGTAAGTCAGGGTAGCAAATCAAGAGCTCCCGTCAATAAACCCACACACAGCCTTTTAACAATTGCTCATCGATGTCCAACGCCACGCATGTCACAGCAAGCCTGCATGGTCTCAGGCTGCTTCTAAACAATTTAGTCAAACACAGCTGCTCTCTGTCTGTTTGTCACTTTCTTTATCTTTTTCAAAAACCAAATAAGTGGCAGAAATACACAGAAACATGGTTCCTCGCAGCCAACATCTGGTTACTTACTTCTACTCAGGAGCTGCAGGTTGCGGACCTCTTCCCTGACCTGTAGCTGGAGGACTTGTTGGAGGACCTCCTGCCTCAGCGTCTCCTGGATGATTCCCATCCTCTCGAGCTTCTCCCCATTCAAACGCAGCAACGCCCGTCCTGCCAAGAGGAGGGCAATAGGAATTAAGTTTCTTCACTAATTTGGAAAGACAGACATATTTACAGAACACTGTTATCAACTGAGCTTTGCTATTAAATTCAGTCAACCAGATATTAAAAATGTTTTGCTGAAAAGTAGAATTTCCTTAACAGCCCACTGTAAATGTTTCAAAACCATAAAAAGCATTATGTTAACTATCACCATAAACAGGACACAAGATTACATTTACCCCTATCTCCATATATGTACTCCAGGAAGACTCAGCCTTTCAAGGATCTCTTTTTTTAAATACCCACTCCTACCAGTTGCCACTTAACCTAATTTATTGTACGATGTTCCACCAGGTGTTTTCCTTCAGCATTTCACATCTTTTCAGGTCTTCTGTTGCTACTGCCCCATCCCTTTGGAATGTGTTGGTGGCATTATAATAAAATGGAAATAACATTTACTGAAACAATTAAAATCATCAGTTTTAACATTTGATATGTTGTCTTTGTACAACTTCAAATCCAGTATCAGGTTCAATGTTTTGCGTTCCAATTCTTTTAGAAATGGGTTTGGAATTGAAAATAACTTCCAATCACTGCACAAACACTTAACTTTGCTTCTTTTAGTAAGGGCTGTGTGAAACCCTTCTTTACAGGTGTGGGTGTCCTCCAATACCAAGAGAGAACCAATTTGTGTTTATGCTGTTTAGTGCATTTTATGCTATATTCACTGTCTCATTTCCATGGGTGAGGAGTGTGTATTTCCTGGTGATGAGTGCGACCTTTTCATTTAGCAGCAGTAAAGAGGCGGGCAGGGGGAGTATGGCTTAGGCTGGCTGTTTTTCTGTGACTGAGTTTTACTACAGACTTCTGCAATTATCCCCAGAGACACACACATTTAACATACCATTCTCCACAGTAAACAGCTTTAAAACCCGGTCGCATTCACACAATCAAAAAAGTTAAGATGAACAACTGAAGACATGCATGTGTTGAGATTACTGTCAACACACAAAGCATAGTGGTAGGGGACTAATGTCCTTCACCGGTACAGACAGCAGAGGAATCCATCATTTCTGCAGTAGCTCTGTGCAATGCCCAAATCATAATTAGACTCATTACTCATGCAGCTCACTCTCCATATCATTCTATTCATTACTGTTTCCTTCCTACGGACAAAGGTACATCCTCTGTATCTCCATCTCTTCTCTGTATTTCTTGAGGTAATATGCCCATTATAGAATGTACTGCAGAGAAAAAAATCCACATTTATTACCAGTATGTTCCTCATATACACATAGAAACCAGTGTTTTAGTCCTCAGTGTTTTCTATTGAGAGATATCAGGACACACATATTGAAATAAATTCCTCAAAAAAAACTTATTTCGCCTTTTTAATAATACTAATTGGTGTTGTATGTTATATCGTTGGAAAGCCTGATTAGTCACCTTTACAACAAGGTATAACTTGTAAGGATCGTGCATTCATGGAATGTGCAACACAGCTAAACGTGTGGGTAGTGCCCTCACAAAATGTGCCTAGATTCCCTGCAATGTTCTTCTGTTGGTATTCACTCCTGTTTTGAGCTTCAAGTGCTGCCAGGTGTGTGCCAGTTACGGGTGTATGTCTGGCACCTGATTGGCACCTAATTGACAGCACTTGTGGGATCATCTTGGGCATGCTGTTCATGCCAGAGTGACAAACACAACCACGCTGGTTGACCTTCAACAACTCCTGGTTGAGGAATGGGATGCCATCCCATTCCGAAATGTGATCAGGCTGGTGACCAGCATGAGGAGGAGGTGCCAAGCTGTTGTGGCTGTCTATGGATCGTCCACACGCTACTGAGGTCCCAGACAGTGTAAAATGAATAAAGTGTAAAAAACGTATTACTGTGGTAGAGTGCAATCATCCATTCCACCAAGCAACTCAAAACAGGAGTGAATACCAACAGAAGAACATTGCAGGGGATTTTGGCACATTTTGGGGGCGCTACCGACACGTTTAGCTGTGTTGCATATTCCACGAATGCACGATCCTTACAAGTTATACCTCGTTGTAAAGGTGATATAAAATACAACACCAATTAGTATAATAAAAGGGGCGAAATAATTGACCAAAATAATGTTTCCAAACTTTATTTGAGGAGTTTAGTTTGTTCATTTATCCAAATCGGCAAATAAGCATATCTGTCAGAAAAGAACATGAGAAAGGAAATAGATTGGAAACTCAAGAGCACAAAATATGGAAAGGCAAGATACATACGGAGGTAGGATCAGTTGTCCCTTTTCAAAGCACATGAAATATAAATATACCAGAAAGTCGGTAGTCATATTTTATTAAACTACCTGCATGGTGGAGAAAAAATCTGTCTGTGTGATAGTGTGGTAGTGTGAGAGATATAGGTCTGTCTGAGTTGACCCTCAGTGGACTCGAGACTGGGCTAATACTAGTACTAGAAGAAATACAGGAGCAATGGCAACAATGAAACAGACGAGTAGATTAGGTCCAAAACACAGAATGTCCAAAGAAAAACACAAATCCATATGACAGAGAGCTCACGGCAACAAGTACCCTATGGAGGAAGTGGTTTGGTGTATCAGGTATGAAACTAGTGAAGAAGGACACAAATGAGCAGGTAGGGTGGAGAATGTCAGTTAATGCTCAGTTGATTGTAAAAGGAAACAGGTGTATTGTTGGGAAAAGTGGGGTAATCAAGACTGTAGCTCTGTCCCAATTTAATGGCTGCAACCGCTGCTTGGAGATCAATAATGTCAAAGCGGCGCATGAAGGCTGTCTTTTTCAAAGAGTCCTTCAAAAGTGGCCGACGAATGCGTCCTCCTTTCCACGGCAAACGGGATCCATCTGGTACATCCCTCGTGGCCACCATATCCCGGGATTTATTTGACACCTGTTCAAACGAGCTGGCGGTCTATGAGGTGGCAGACTTTTAAATGTAAGTAACTGGTTTTAACTCAATGGAATGGCTACCATTAGTAAAGGTGAAAAATGCAAAAGGGGCCTTGAAACTTTAAATTATCTCTGAAATAATAAGTTAAGCTGACAATACATGACAATAGCAATGTCAGCTAGTTTCAGTGCAGCTGTTAAGTAAGTAAGGGCATGGACAACTGGTGAGGTAAACAGGGATTCCTTTGTAGACCAGACCATCTCATTTCATTTTGAACAGCCCTACCAAGGCTACAAAGGCGCGGCCTTGGATGCTAAGGATGCTAACGAATTAAGACACAGTCATTGGGAAGTGGGGATGTGATAGTCTATGAAGAACAAGGACACAGAACCTTGTACTGTTGTTGTACACATGACAATTGACCTGAAAATGATTGTGTAATAAATGTGAAAGAGGGCTCAAGGGAGAAATTTAACGCGTGCAAACTTTCTAACCTCGTCAAATTTGGCAAATCGCTGGGTGAAATGGGTTTGTCTTCAGGAAGTTATTAAGATTGTTGCATCCTGTTATTTCAAAAACAGGTATTCTCTAGTTTTAACTGGGAGAAAAGTTTGTCAACCATCCGATCAATATCTTTCTGCTGTTGTTGTATACTTGCTCTTTAACAGATTCATATACTGTATCACTACTGGATTCATTTTTCCGCCGAGCATTGGTGGCACAAGATCTTAAAATTCTTCCCATGTTTTTAAATATATTGCCCACTCGACTGTTCCACTGATCGATGCACTCTCACAAAGCAAACTACATCTTCGATCCATTCCAGTCTTTATTTCTTCTTTAGTGTTGCAAGTGCAGCTGTGCATATATATCCTCGAGAGGTAAGCTGATAAATGATTTCAACTTGAGATACAGGTTGGAGAAATGTATTGAATGTACAGCAAAGTTAACTGCAATATTTTAGAGTGGTACTGACTTTTTATCATGGCGACACTCGTCATATTTTGTCCTGTAACCTCTTTCTACAAGACTGTCACGGAAACTTTTTTTGCTCACAAAGCTTTGTTGACTTAAGGGACTGATACTTTATAGGCCTTGGACCGAATATTGAACATTATATATGGAAGTAGTAATTACGAGATTTCTTCCATATTCCAACTCTTTGAGATATAATGTGTTACCCTCAATGGAGCCAAATGAGAACAAACCTGTCAGCTAGTCCTTTCTTTACAACCAGATGGGCTAGAACAATACAGACAAAAGCTACCCTTACTCAGACTCATCTCCCTGAGAGACAAAACCATGACAAACAAGTTAGCTTTCATTATGGTGTACAAGTGGTTTAAATGCACATTATTGACATCTTTCAGTGTCAAGGTGCTCAGGATTTGTAGCGCACATAGTGGAACAATCTATTAATCTGCGAGCACAAATATCCTAGGGATAGAACAATCATAATCTTCTTTTCCCCAATGTGCACACGTTTTTCTCCCCCTCTGCTGTCTCTTGTGGGCTTGCCGTCAGAAATACTACCAGAACGTCCTACAAAGACCAGTGCCCTTGGTCTGTGCTTGTGTTTCTGTGCATGTGTGTTTCTGTGTACAAATGAGAGAAAGCAGATGAATGAAGCTCAAATCAATTCCCCCCAGACAGACTTAATACAGCTCCTAATAATTGCCCGCAGATAGGGAAAGTAGTGCTAAAAGAGGGAGAAGAAGAGACACAAAAACCAAAGGCGTCTCAATAGAGATCGCTTCTCTCAATTTGGCTTCAAAATAAATTGCTTATTAACAATGTCTGTGGGCAAACAGGATGCACTTCTGCCTAGTCTAGGACAATAATGACACTTAAAACGAGAGAAGCTATGGAAGTAGAAGGAAGGTAAAGGCTCCCTTTCAAAAGGACAACCTTGAAAATAAAGCTTCGATAGTGGACCAATTCATCAAAATGTATTACGAGTTGGTTCTCAAGCTTGTTGTGATTTTTAGTGATTATACTTTTGTTGTGATTTTTGCACTAAATAAATATATTTTTTTTAATGATTGATATTGGAGAAGTAATAAAAAAAAAAAAAAGTGGAGATTCGAGTCATCACAAGTTCTACATACATGCCTGTGTCACTGGCAGAATTATAATCAGTCTGACAGTCTGTTTCCAGCATATGGCCTGCACTGAAATGAATCTTTGTCATGTCTACTACAAAGCAATAAAAACAGTCATGATAAAATAAAAATAAACATACAAATACAAATGTAAAAAGAAGAGACACTGAGGACGCTGCACTGATCTCCCCAGGCAGCCCGTTCGACTGTAATGGTGCTCTCACTGAGAGAGAGACAATTACTTCTGGGTCACTGAGCCAAGATGATGCAGACACTGAATCCTTTTCTGAGACCCAGCATCCTTTTGTGTAGGGACTTTGTGAGTAGAACATTTATTGATGCAGATCTTTGATTGTGACCATATGCATCAACAACAAAGAATCATATTCAAACAACATTTGCACAAGAAAAGACAGATGCTAATAACGTTGGCAACATGGAATCCAGCTGGTCATCAGCAAGTGAATACATAAGGAAAATAGGATCTAAGCCTCTGTCCCTCTTCCCTCTGATTGTTTGAGAATACATAAATACAAATGATCAGATCAGAGCTCCTGTAGCTATGAGGGCGGCCGCATTGTTAACCCTGAAACCACTGTGTATGCATGTGACTGGCTGTGTCTGTGTATGTAAGAGAGTGGAGGCTGACCCTACAGCACAGAAGTCTGATCTCTTAGAGAAGATAAAACAGAATCCTCTCTTCTGTTGGTTCATGTGGGTCTGCCCATCAGTGTAGTGGTTTATTTGTGTATATGCAAGAGCATGCATCAGGCTGGGCTTTCAAACAAGTAAAAGTGTGTGAATGTGTCGAAACACGGTAACACCCCTTCTTTTCTGCAGCTTTTCCTTTCTTCTCCAAAAATAGGCTGCACTACTTCTGTTACCTCACATGAATGCCTTTTAAATCTCCTTTGCAGAGATTTGGGTGTAAACCTGTTTCCAGTTGAAAAGGCTAAGCCGTGGAACCACGAACCTAAAAATAAAACTTGTGTGACATTTGGTAAGCCTTTTATGGCTTTGGTTTGCAATGTCAAAGACGCTTCAGTGCTGTGCTAATTATTAAGGAGAAAAGGTCAAAGGCCGAGGTCTGAGGAGATCACAGTAAAGCAACGACATCTACAAGATCACTTTTTATAGGCTCTTTATATGAATGGTGCATTATTTATTGTGTGAGCTTTCAGATAACATAATGTCTTTGTGTGCGTGCATCTCCGCGTGCTATATATCTTACCTGTGATGGCGTGATGGGAGAAGGCCTCTACGTAGGTCAGGTAGTTGTGAGGACAGTGTTTCTTAAGCCACTTGCAGACATCCTGCTGAGTCCACAGCACCACGGGTTTGGACAGGCTGGACAGAGTAGGACTGGTGTGATACACAGTGAAGGCCTCGCCTGGACGCAACTGAAACACACACACACACACACACACACACACACAAAACAAATCAATAAACTTCCTATTAGAGCTCTCCCTCCAGGCATCGATTAAACCCCTTAAAAGCTCACCTCTGTTCATCAAAATGAGTTATTTAGAATGTTCTATTTCTTTGCTTTCATTTAGAATGCATGGATCTATAAATATGCAAATAGACCCCACCTCTAAATCTCAAACTGTCTCTCTTCCACTAGCCGGCGGCTCTATTCCAGTGGCCACATCAGAATGGCAATTCATTTTATGTATCGCGCTCTACAACGTCACATTGGCTAATTTATAACCAGATTAAAATGTGTTAAATAGTAAGATAAAATGTACCATTCGTCAGCTCTGACACGCATTAACTTCAGTTTCAAAGCTGAAATGTTCAGTCATGCTTATCTCAGCTGTCTTGCCCCATATTTTTTTAAACACCAGGACATTTAAAGAATTGTAGTAGCTATCTTTGGTCTGTATTGTTCTTATCTGTATCCTAATTTTAGCCTGTCAATAATTATTAGGGGTAGGACAAAACGTTGATACAGCAATACAGTATATCGTCGTCCTGCCTTGTGTGATACAATTTTTGAATGGCTGGTGTCAAATATAGCTATTTTTAATTTAAAAAACTGGTGCTCTGAACAGTTTTCCCTGACAATTTGACTCACTACATCTGACCGTCATGACTCCTCATTGTGGTGTGCTACTGACAAGAATGAAAAGGTAAGTGAAAGGAAGTTCATTTGCCAAAGAAGACGCTGATAGTGGGGACAAAGAAGCCGTAGAAGAAGACACTAATATCCAACGGAAGTAAAAAGAAGTATCCAGGAAATATCAGGAGTTTTTTGCAAGTGTGAAAGCCCAATAACAGTCTAATTTTTAAGTCAATTTCAGGTGATGTCAACAGTAAAACAACCATATTGCCCCACTGGGAACTTGTTTTTTAAATGTACATTAAATATGGACCGCACTAGCATGGCTCCATTCCACTTAAAGCGCCACAGTCCCCCTGTCCCACGTACATGAATACACTGATGGTAGACACGCCCCAAAAGTATTTCCCATCAGGATCTGATGTAATATGCAGTCACAAAACAATAGCTATGCCTTAACAAGCATATGCTTTTGGATTGTTTTGTTGTTTTCTCGGATAATAACCTCATAATTGCCGCAGCCTGCTTAAACGCCTCATGCTGAATTTTCTCATTAAAGTCAAATTAGCCTGGATGATGCGTTCTAATGCCATAGTCTGCAACCAAATCCCTTCTGGTAGTCTGGGGAATTACACATGCAGAGACAGAGAAAACGTGCAGAGGAAGTCCTTAAAAGGAAATCAGTTCATTAAAGGTCTTTACAGTGATCTGCAACAGTAGTCTTATCTCTAATTCACAGGTCAGACATGTACATTGCTTTTAACCATCCACAAATTTGAAGAGGTTTCAAAGTGGGAAACAAATTAAATTCACATAATGAGCACAAATGTAGACTAAATTTACAACGAACATAAGGTGAAAGCTTGCAGGCATAGAGAAGAAAACAGATGCTGAACTTTTCATTAAATATGAACAGCCTGTTATTACCTCTCAGCCCTAATTTAGAGAGACGAATATTATTTCCACTGCGTTTCACACCTTACATTTTTCAAATTCTGTACAGTGTTTAACACCTCAGCCCCTCTATATGTCCATATCTTCACTTGATACAGTAATTACATTCCATACACAGCATTGGTCGTGTTGTATGGCTGCTGTGGTCTTTTTCTGGAAGAAATTCTTCACGGCAGCGGTACCTTCATTATGCAGTCAACACCACATTAGTGTGAGCTGTCAGCTGTATTTTTCAACTATGAGAGCACATCTTTATTCCTCTCATACTCAATTTCTCTCTTTGTTCCTCTTCAGACACCTCGCTCTGGCCCTTTTCACTGTCAGACAGCTGCCTCTTCTTTGTTTGTCACAGCCATGTGCGGGGAATTAATATGGACATTATTAAAGTCAGACGCTGTTCATATGGGCACAGAACACAACCACTCCTTGTCCCTTCAGCTTTCTCTTTCTCTCTTGTGGACCATACTCTCATATCTAATCCATTCATTCATGCTCTGACTGAGCCAACTCCACAACAAAGGCTTTGGCTGATTTTCAACAGCAAACACACAGAGCTGCTGCCAAACGTTTCACTCCATAACTGACTGCATTTAATGGGATTATGTATGCTGAAATGTCAAACACACAAACACAACTCGCAAACAATCTAGAAGTTTAATATCCAGGTTTCTCACGGCTGCTTTTCTTGTTAATGACACAAAGACGTGCTCCCAGAACACCTCAATAACTGAATTGGTGAAAGATGTAGGTTAATTCCTGTTTACATCTTTCTTGCTTTCTGCTGTAATAAGATCTCCTCCTGTCAATTTAAGCGTCAATCAGCCCTATCGAGTCCTGGCTGATGTACCGGCTTTGAGTGTGTTCTGCTTTGTAGGCCTTAATTGAAAACAACTCACTCTCACCGCTCCAGTGTGTTCGCTCCTTTCCTAATTACACACATACTTCTAACCTGACTCAATGGAGCGCTGAAGCCATTTTAATAACCCAAATTTACTGCTTGCCCCCTTCATTAATTGCTATTGAGCTGGAAGAGATGTGGAAATGCACTCTTCTGAGATGATTGAGGGTGGTCAACAGAGGGTAAAAATGTTTCCTAATCCACAATAAAGTTTAAATCCTGTAGATTTAACGTCTTCCACATCTACAAAACCCATCTGACATCGTTCAGGAAATATTAGTGAGTGGGGGTGGCAAATGCCAAATCAATCATGAGGCTAATTTAACAAGAAAAGTATAATTGCCTTGATCAAGTTTGTGTGCTCTTGATCAATATGTTTAATTGCTTGGCTGCAAACTTGATTAAATATTGATAACGACTTCTATGTTTGTACAAAATATATCACGCTGCAACAACCAGGCAATTAGCCAAGCTTAGCTTTAAGACTTGTGTGCTAAAGCGGTTTCCTGCCCCCCCCCGTCTTAATGCTAAGCTAAGCTACTTTGATGCGAGATGTAGCATCATATTTGGAATTTAAAAAATATTACCTTAATTTATAAAATTAATTTCAATGGAAAGAGTCCCTCGGACAGAAGTTGAGGTGTTAGTGATGGGGGGTAAGGGTACGTTTCAAAGTAGGTTTGATTTGTCAGTGCTTTTTATTTGTGCCTTTAAACAAAACTGCACTTACTTTAAATGCAAAACATAAAGAGCTCATTTCAGAGCAGAGACTGTGCAAGTTTTTTGACACAAGAATCCTCTTTCACATGTAAAAACCACCACATATGTAAAAACGTACTTGATTAATCATTGATTGGTGATGGGATGACACACAAATCTGCAGAGCCTGTCATGAAGGCTTGATTTCTCGCTTGATCTAGATAGTGTGCAAAGACAGTGTGCGTAGGAGTGTTGTAGCCATTGAGTGAGTAATGGTCTTCATCATCAAGAAGCCAGACATAAAGGAAATGGAGTGATAGTTCCTCATCATCCCTCCTTTTTTTTTCCCTCTTCCCTCGCTCCCTCCTCTCGCCCTGTTCTTCAGCCATCTATCAGACTGTATCTCCTCTGGCCAGCTCTCTGTCGTCCCCGTTCACCCTTCGCTGCCTCCCCCACTCCTCCCGAGACCTACTTCTGTCCGGCGGGAGGAGCACCCTCATTTATTAGGTACAGGAGACGAGGGGGAAGAGATGGGGCTAGAGGGGAGGCTAGGCATTGGCAAAGTGGAGGCTGTATATAGAGCGGAAGTCTAATGAGAGGTTGAGGATAGAAAGGGGGGCGAGATAGAAGGGAAAGTAGAAGATATGTGGTGATGTGTCGTAGTCAGCGCTAAAATAGCTGGCACAGTAAGCATGCCATGGTGAGGAGCATTTAGCCCTAATCCTTCTATAACCTGGATTTAACATTTAAATTGTTAATGTTCCTTCCCATGAACCTTCTTTATTTCAGGGAAATATGTGCTGTCTTGCTGAAGGTTTGTCCAAAGGGCTGACACCAGAATTATGTCTGTACAGAAAAAAAAGGAGCCATAGTCAGGAGTTGGTTAGTTTAGCTTAGCATAAACACAGGGGACAGCTAGCCTGGCTCTGTCACAAGGCAATTAAGTTAAAAGACAAAGAAATTAACAATTCGTATTTGTCTTAAAAGGAACATAATGTTAATCAGTGACTTTTTAAATGTGATGACAAAAGGAACATTTTGTCCCGTTCTGTCTATAATTACATAAGTTCTTTCCTGCGTTCTCTGCTTTCTGTTTTTGTAGCTTAGCAAACAGACTTGACACAGAGGGGAAAAGCTGCTCTCGCTCTGCAGAAGGTTACACAATAAGCCTACACGCCCCATGTAAGAGTATCTTGTTTACTATTTGATCAAGACCAACATGTTATCGGTGATTTTCAAGTGTCTGATAATTGGAACACCGATGTCGGGCCCCATGTTCAGAGGCAGGGTATGGTCCTTCAAGCGGGCGGCTCGGTTTCAAGTCCGACCTGTGGCTGATTTCTCAAATGTCATTCCCCACTCTCACTCAGATATCCTATTCTATCCACTGTAATGTCAAATAAAGGCAAAAAGCCTGATGAATTAATCAAGTCTAATTTTTTCATGCTGTTTATGCTAAGCTAAAAGCTAATGGGCTACTGTCTTTCCGCTCTTATTACCCCAAAATGTTGACTTGTTCCTTTAATTCATATTGCTTTATCCTTAAATTGAACTAAATACATTTAATACATTAAAATAAACACATTCATTACTTTAATTTTTACTTTTTTATTTTAATTTCACTTATTTAATAATAATCTGTCTCTTTCGTCCTGCTTCCCCCTCATCTCTCCCACCAACCCACTCCACACACTGGGATTGTCTTTGCTGCACCTCTGTCTCTATTGATCATTCTGTTTGTTTCCTTGATCCGCTCATTTGTCCTTCTGTGCTTGCTTTGTTCA